TTGTGACACTATCACATTAGTCCTCGTCATGCCACGTGCATCTATGGTGCCAATTGTCCCCCAAAAAGGCTGCAAATCTGACGACTTTTCTATCGCCTACATGCCGCCCGAGGCCATGGGCGCACCCCTTCCATTGTCAACACATCGACCGAACAAGTCCGACCGGAACCATGCCTACTTTTAGGGAAACAAACCACGGGAAAAAAGAACGACTACTGCTGTACATATGACGGTCTGTCACTGGAAGGCAGATCATAGTATACGGATATGCTACAATGGATAAGTGTTGCGGGTTCCGGTTTTGTTTTGTTTGAAGTCAATAACCCGCTATTAAAAACGATGACTGCAGATACGTTTTGCAAGGTACACGCTGCGAGTGTAGCCTCGGTGCCAGACTGTTTCAAGGGCCTTAACTCCGGACCCCGATCCACTAAACCTTGTGCCTAACGTGCTATGGGTCTGGCATCCAGGCTAACGCTCTTGACTTTATGCCCCAGACTAGCGACTGAACAAGATGGTACCCAATCCAACATCACGAAGAAAACGTGCCATTTCTTGGGCATTTCAAAGTCTTAACGTTCCTAATTCCTCAGGTGGTTCTGAACGTCATATCTAAGTAGATGGATGACACGGTGTAACACACATTTTTTTTCTTATAGAGGAGTGTTGCAGAAATAGGTACTGTAGTGTACGTGTAAGGATGGTTGATTTTGCCATCATCAGTTGGTCATGTCAGCAAGTTGACTACCTTGAACTTGTGTAATGTAATCTTCACAGAACAACTGGTATTGGCCGGGTAAGGTAACCGTGGGCATGATTCCGTGAAGACCTTCATTAATTTGGGAAGCGTGTTTTTTTTCTTCATCGGTAGGTTATTATGAAACCTTTTTGCACGGCCATATGTGCTGTAACCGGAGCTAATGCATGGCTGCCTAGTTAGGGCAGTGTGGAGAGATGTCAGCTCGGCACTGGTCGGGCGCCTTTGACACGGTTGTCAGGATGGAGAAAACAGAAAGAAAACAGCACACACGGGCGCGGGAATGTAGTTAAAACGGAGAAATGCGCTCAACCAGAAGACTATGGAGGACCCATCAGCTAGAGTAGCCTCTACCAGGCTTCAGAAGTGGCAGGAAAGAACAGACAAATAGACTGATACATGTAACATACTCCAATGGCATTGGAGTTGGTCCACCAAAGGAGGGCCAAGGAGTACAGTTTGCCGCTCCGATTCCCCTAGATAGCGCATGTTGTCATCTGTCTATTTGGCCAATTTCTACTCTTTCCAGCCGCTTCTGAAGCCTGGTTAGAGCCTATGGCTGTAGAGTACGGGATTATGATTAGTGATCATTAGCGGTAAGACCCCATGTGAGCCCGCCCGAGGCTCTGTATGTGGTTCATATGGTTCAGTGTGTGACTGATGTGTACTGACGTGTCGAAACATCTGCGTGTTCAAGATGGCACAGAAATGTCTCCAGACGGACCGCTGCATGTTGTCGTCCTATACACGTCTCAACATCACTGTTGTTGTGCAAGTACCATATGATAAGATCAGTAGTTTTTACCAGTAGTTTCTTATTAGTTATCAGTAGTTCTTTGTGTAATAATTATCCGTTTTTATACCAAATATTTCTTATGTTCATGCAATTAGCCCTCGGGCATGAATTTGCTATAAAACTTTACTATAAAACTTTACGATAAGCGTTTAAGTCATCCAATGCAATCTAAAGGCGGCAAAACTAGGCAAAGTCAATTTTCTGGACATTCTTTTCATGTATCAAAATCAATTGTATCCCATAGAATACATACAGATATGTTGGTCAAAATTGCGATGTCACTGACTTTAAACTTTTGCTTGTTTTGTATCGCAAGCTGGTTCTAGCGATTTATGGGTGGTACCCCAAAATAAAGAGACTCCTCGCTTAACTTTTGTTTGGGATAATAGTATTTCAAAAGCTTCAAGTATGAAATGATGACAAAAATGTGTCAAGAAATGGCAGTAAATGTCAATATCAGATATATTTACTCATCTATGATATTTCCAGTTTTGCCGCCCTAAAATTACATTGAATGTCTTTAACTTTACTATCACTGCGTTAGTATAGTACAAACGGCTAACAGATATTATTTGGTTGCATATTTATGTTAAAATGAGAAATCATATAATTTATTAGTGTCGTTTGGTAGGCGTGTCTTCTGTTCATGTTGATATTCCTGGTGGAACGAAAGGGGCGGGGCAGCCAAATTGCAACAACATGTTTTCAATATACGAAAGATTAATCGATAATATATATTCATGAATAATCAGTCTTTCAAGATCCAATCTGTAGTTGCAATCTTCTAATGAAAAGTGGACGAAATACTAGAGATCTTTCCATAAAATCTGTATTTGTTTCTGTATAGCCGGTATAACCGCCTTTCCGGGTAACACACCAGCTAAAATGCACACAACGATGTCGTTTTTAAACGTCAAAGTCTTGATCCGACGTTAAAATTACTTGCTATTTCAGTCTCATTCACTGAACCAATGAGCTTTAAATAGAGACTCTCCTTGATTGAACATGTTCTTCGTTGTGCAAAAATTGAAGTCGGCGCAAGCTATCTGTGGCCATCTGTGGCAGTTTGAGGAACGACTGAACTTGCACTGTACTGGAACTGTACTGGAACTGCCGGAATCACAGAATCTTATGTTTTCCAAGCTCTCGTATAGAGAATAGAATACGTCTCAAACGCAACTAACGTTACAATAAATGCCATCCTGAGGGATACCCAGGTCTTGGCGGAGCTTCCCAAGACAACATATTTATTTGAATTGTAACTATTAGGAGGGCTAAGAGGACTGCTAGTCAAAACAGGCCGGGGGTTTGAGAGAACCCTCTGGGCATTCCGACTCTCGGAGGTCAAGCGACACAGGCTGCCGTGGCTGTGCCCGAAATAACAGTTAAGCGATCTCCTGAGCAATCCTCAGGGTTGGACAAGTCCCATTGCCCACTTGCCCAGGGCAAGTAAAAGTACTGTTCGGGCAAGTGAATGTCCCCCTGTACTTGCCCGATTGGGCAAGTAAATTTTTTGGATGCAAAGTATAGCCGCTATGGTGTTTGGAACAAAATTACTCATCATTTTGCCAAATTGGTATTATATTAATGTCCTTTTGTCAGAAAATCCATTGCAAGTCTCAAACCACCTTATTTTGATAAATAAAGTATGCAGCATTATAAACTCTAAAATAAGATGCTGGTAGTAAAAATGCATAAAAATGTCATGTATAGTTTGGGCAAGTGAAAAGTTGGTTCGGGCAAGTGAAAATGACTCTGTACTTGCCCGATAGGGCAAGAGGATTTTTGAAAACTTGTCCAACCCTGATCCTCCATCTCTCATTTGTCTTCAGCTCTGGAAAGACAGAAAACGTGAAAGCAGCTTGACAGATAGCCTGGGTGCCAGACCCATACATACACTAGGCCTAGAGGAGTTTTTAGCCAGCGTGTGGATCAAGGTCTATCTGAGGGTAGCCTGGGTGCCAGACTGTTTCCAGGGCCCACAGAGGCCAGTTCCTCGACTCCAGGATCAACACAAATTATATATATAGTTAGACCCTGATTCCAGAGACGCTGACTCTGAGCGTAGCGTTTTATAGGTCTGGCGTCGAGGCTAAACTGAGGGGGCCGTGGTATAATTTCCTTGGGGCATGTTGGCCCTGGCGCCCAGGAACTGGGGCCTATGCAGGCCCTGGAAACATCCCAGCACCAGGCTTCGTGGCAGACTGCATTGGATCAGGACATGTCTTCAGAAGCTATCAGAGTTTAACGATGTGTAAGGGAACCTATGTAGTCAGCCGTTCTGCTACATTGGGCACCCACACTGACATCATTGATGAGGGGCTAGATCTGTGAAATTACTGAAACGAAACGTTCTTTTGGGACATCCCGGATCCATATCCAGCAGATGTTTGTTGTAACATTTTACAGCTAAAAAACGTAATCAAATCATCTTTCTTTGGTTTACATAACTGCATTTAAACGAGAAGATTGTCGTACCATTTTGTTAGGTTGTCTGGAAGACAAGCTATCGTTCTTCCGCATCTTATTTGTACACCTTGAATGTCCATCAGCTGAGCACGGTCCCTGGAGGTAGGCGGGGGTTCGGGTAGGGAGGGGGAGACACAGAAGATAAATGGGCCGCAAGTATTTATCACTGGCACCGGGGTGTCCCTTTGTACTAACTACCTATTCCTCCTGAAGGGATGACCAGACAGATCCGAAGACACTTTCGGACACGGTCGCAACAACGTGTGTCAAGTCGGAAACATCACAATGAGAAACCTGTCTATCGCGACTGCCAATGTCAT